AATGCACGTATGTGTAACCAACGGACATAGACAACAATGCTGGGGGGGGGGGCGGGGGGTTGGGAGGAGGGTGTCTGGGGGGGGGAAAGGAGAAACATCTGTAACAAAAATAAATTAATAAAAATTGCAACAACAAAAAGCCCGGTCAGTGTGGCTCAGTGGTTGAGCATCAACCCATGCACCAAGAGGTAGCTGCTTCGATTCCCGGTCAGGGCACGCACATGCCCATGTTGTGGGCCCAGACCCCAGTGGCGGGCATTCAGAAGGCGGCCAATAGATGTTCTCTCTCGTTGGTGTTTCTACCTCTCTCTCCCTCTCCCTTCCTCTCTCTCTAAATTAAATAAAGGAAAAATATATACAAATTTAAAAATTAAAATTAAAAAGCGGTGGTACATCATTTACCCAATGGAATACTATGCAGCTGTATGAAAGAAAGATCTCTCACCCTTTGAGAGGACATGGAGGCACCTGGAGAATATTATGCTAAGTGAAATAGGTCAGTCAGAGAAAGACAAGTATCACGTGATCTCACTTATTTGTGGAATATAATGAACAAAATAGATCCAGAGACATGAAAGTAGGGAACAGACAGACAAATCTCAGAAGAAAGTGGGGCTGGGTTGCAGGAAGGGATTAACCAAAGAACTTATATGCATATATGCATAACCAATGGACACAGGCAACAATGCAGTGAAGGTGGAGCAGGAGTGGGGAGTTGAGTGTCAATGGGGAAAAAAGGAGAAACATCTGTAATACTTTTAACAATAAAGTTTAGAAAATGTCATGAGGACTTAGATGGTTTGGCTCAGCGGTTGGAATGCCAACCGCGGACCAAAGGGTCATGGGTTCGATTCCCAGTCAAGGGGCACATACCTGGGTTGCAGGTTCAATCCCTAGCCCCAGTAGGGGTTGTACAGGAGGCAACCAATCAATGATTCTCTCTCACATCAATGTTTCTATCTCTTTCTCCCTCTCCCTTCCTCTCTCTCTCTAAAAAAATCAGTAAAAATATAATTAAAAAAAAAAAAGACACATGGCTTTGAACCGTGTCTGTAAGCATCTGGGCTTTATCTTGATTTATTTTGTGCATCCGTTAGCAAATTCTGTCCTAAGATATCAGAAATGCCTAAGAGAGCTTGTAAGGGTGTTACAGTTAGCATAAAACTAAAAGTAATTCAAGTATTTGATATGATTTGATAGGTTATTTTTAGGTCTGGGAATATTCAAAACTTTTCCATATAAATTAATGGCAATTGCTTCTTAGCTTTACCCCATTTTTGCACAGAAAAGGTTTCATGGAACACCCTACTTTCAAATAACAGGATCATGGGAAAACCTATACTACAAAGACACGTTTTAAAATTTTACATCAAGCCCTGGCCAATTTGGCTCAGCGGTTGAGGGGCACATACCACAAAAAAATTAAATAAATAAATAAAAATAAAATTTTACATCAAAACACCCATTTCATAAATGTTTTTATTATTTTTTTTTTTTTAAGAGAAAGAGGAAGGGAGAGAGATAGAAACATCAACATAAGCCCGGCTGGTGTGGCTCAGTGGTTGAGTGTCAACCCATGCATCAAGGGGTCGCTGGTTCAATTCCCGGTCAGGGCACATGCCCAGTTTGTGGGTCCAATCCCCAGTGGGGGGCATGCAGGAGGCAGCCAATTGATGTTCACTCTCACTGATGTTTCTGTCTCTCCCTCTCCCTTCCAAATTTCTCTCTAAAAATCAATAAAGAAAATAATATATTTTTAAAAAAATCACTCTAAGGGTAAATTGAAAAAAAGAAAAAACATCAATGTGAGAGAGATGCATCTATCGGCTGCCTCCTGCACAACCTCCACTAGGGATCGAACCTGCAACCCAGGCATGTACCCTGACCAGGAATCAAACTGGAACCATGAGACCAGGCTGATTTTGTTTTTAAAATGGGTGTTTTAAGCCTGGCTGGTGTGGCTCAGTGGATTGAGCGTCGTCCCACGGACTGAGAGAACCCAGTTCGATTCCCAGTCAGGACACATGCCTGGGTTTCCAGCTTGATCCCCAGTAGGGGGCGTGCAGGAGGCAGCCCATCAGTGTACCTCTCACACTGGTGCTTCTATGTCTCTCTCCCTTCCTGTCTCTTTGATAAAATCAATAAAAAACATATTTAAAATAAATAAATAAAAACAAAAGCAAAGCAAGAACATTTGTTTCCCCAAACTCCAAATTTCATCTCTAAACTTTGATGAACTTTAAACCAAATAATCTTAAAGCCACAGTCCAATGCGGGGAGGACAATGCCAGACTGGCCACTGTCTCTTTAAACAAACCCCCAGGGCCCAGTAGGAACTAAGACAAATAATTCCTCTACACCAAGGAACCCTCAAATTGACTATATGGTTTACTCAAATATACAGCCTGACTTCCTGAAGTAATGATATGGTCAACTGTTTAAATGCACAGGAGGGCAAGCACTAAAGGTGGTGAGCACATAAACAAGAAGCCTTCGAGAACTACAGAAATGGCAGCTCAAACGTCATCAGTCTTAAGTCTATAAAATGAACCTGCCATTAGAACTCAGAAAGTGACCTGGAGCTTGCATTGAAATCTAGGAGCAAATAGTTGTCCTTCCTCTGTATCTCTAAATTCAAGGCTCTGCAAAGTAAATGAGACCTGTCCTCTACAGCAACCAGCACTAAATTATATGAATATTTAAGTACACTCTATAAGGATATGAAAATAATTTTCCACAACAAATAAAAATAATAGAAGAGATTCCCTTGGTATATGAGAAATATATTCCAGCAACCCCATTAATAAAGACATGCTGAGAAAAGACATTTCTGTATTTTTTGTGATGGCAAAAATCTCAAGAGCCCAAGGAACAAGGCACTCAAGAGAAATTGAAGCAACAATCCTGTACCTTGACACCATGCACATCAGAATTATCTGCGAAGCTTTTTAAAAATACCAATAGCCAGGGCACACACCAGATCAGTTACATCAGAATCTCTGGAGGTGGGCTTTCAGTGTACACCCAAGGTTGGGAACCACCAAATTAGAGATTGGTCTAAAGATAACTTCCAGGTCAGAGTTCATCTTAGCATAACTGTGGGCCCTTGATACACTGGGAAGGGGAGTCTTTGTCTAAAACTAATACCTGGCTATGATAGTGTACTATATGAGCCATTCACCTCAACCCTGGAAAAGGAGCTGGGGCACATGCACACACAGAACCCCCTCTAAAATGTAGCGTAGAAGAGGTCACTCATTCATAGGGCCTGCCTAGATGAGCAGTGTCAAAGAGGCCCCTCAATCTGTATTTTCAGGGGTACGTCCCTTGAAAAATGTACGAAACTCTGGAGACAAGTTGCAATATGAACTGACACATGGGCCCAGATGAGCAGCATTGACGAGAGCTGGCACTAGTTTCAGAACGCAACAAAGCCACCTGGTGACCACTCTTTGTGAGAGATGCACACCCTCTTAGCAAAATACACACATGGTTAAAGAAATAGGTACGTTTCCTAGCTGTTGCTCCTCTGTTGATAAAGCTGGTAAATTCACTTAATCTGAATTTTTTTAAAAAGTCCTCAATGTTTACCATTAAAATCCTTAATTTAAATCCAGCTTTAGATTGTTTTGCCTGCTTTTCTTTGAAACTCTGGCAGGAGTAGTTAGAAAATGTATTAAAAACTCCACAAGAATCAATTAGGATTTATTCAAAACATTTAAAGGCAAAATTTTACCCAAGAAATTTAAGTGAAAAGAAAAGCAAATAAATTGCACACATTTTAAAGATATTTTAAATAACAGAAGTTTAAAGCATAAATTTAGAAAAGCACAAAAAAAAACCATACAGAGATATTCCAAAATTAATATCTTTCTACAAAATGTGGCCTTTTTTTTTTTAATCCTCACCTGAGGACTTTTTGCATTTATCTTCGGATAGAGCGGGAAGGATAGAGGGAGAAAGAGAGAGGGAGAAACGTTGATGTGAGAGAGACACTGGCTACCACCCACACAACCCCAACGAAGGCCAGAGACAAACTGCAACCAAGGTATGTGCCCTTAGAGGGAACCAAATCCGGGTCTCTGGTCCACAGGCCAACACTCTAACCACTGAGCAAGATTGGCCAGGGCAGTTTTTTATTAAAGAGCACTTTTAACAACAACAGGAAACAAAACAGGAGGGAAGGAAGGAAGGAAGGATGGAAGGCAAGCCGCTAACCACTAAATTTAAGAGTGCTTGACAACATAAACTCTGAAGGCAGGCTGCCTGGATTTGAGTTCAGGCTCTGACACTATATTAAGCATAGTGCCCTTAATTGTGTCTCTGTGCTTCATCTTACCACCTATATACCAAAGGTTCTGGAGTCAGACTATAGGGTTCAAATTCAGATTTGTACACATTAGCTAAGTGAGTTCATTTAACTTCTCTGTATCTCTTTTCCTCCTCTGTCACATTGAAATAAGAATAATACTGCCCGGGCTTGGCTGGTTTTGCTCAGCGGTTAGAGCGTCGGCCCGTGAACCAGAGAGACCCAGGTTCGGTTCCTGCTGAGGGCACGTACTTCGGTGGCAGTTTGTCCCCAGCCCAGTTGGGGTCATGTGGGTGTGGCAGCCAGTCAATGTGTCTCTTTCACATCGATGTTTCTCTCTCTCTCTTCCTCCCTCTCTCCCTCCCACTCTATCTGAAGATAAATGCAAAAAGTGTCCTTGAGTGAGGATTAAAAAAAAAAAAAAAGAATAGTACTGCCGGCCAGTGTGGCTCAGTGGATTGAGCATCATCCTACGGACTGAGAGGTCCCAGTTAGATTCCTGGTCAGGGCACATGCCCAGGATGCCGCTCAAAACCCGGGGGGGGGGGGGGGGGCTTGCCGGAGGCAGCCAATCGATGTTTTCTCTCTCACACTGATGTTTCTATCTCTCTCCCTTCCTCTTTCTCTAAAAAAAAAAAAAAAAAAATCAATAAAAACATATTTAAAAAAAAGAAAAACGAATAGTACCTACCTTCTACCTGGAAAAATTGGAATCCCGGTGAACTGCTGATGGAAATATAAATAGTGCAGCCACTGTAGAAAACCGTATGGCAGTTCCTAAAAATATTAAACACAGAATTACCATATAATCCACCAATTCCACTTAAGGAACTCAAGCATATTCATACACCTGTGTTCATAGCAACATATGTACTCCCAATTGCCAAAAGGGGAACACAACCAGAATCCACTGACATATAAATGAATAAAATGTGGTACATGCATACAGTGGAATATTATTCAGCCTTAAAAAGGATGAAAATTCTGACACATGCTACAACATGGATGAATCTAGAGACATTATTCCAGTGAAATAAGACAGTCTCAGAAAGACAAACACTGTATGATTCCATGCACATGAGGTACTTAGAATAGTCAAATTCATACAGACAGAAAGTAGAACGGTGATTGCCAGGGGCTAGAAGGAGGAAGGATTGGGGAGTTAGTTTTTAATGAGTACAGAGTTTTAGTTGGAGAAAATGAAAATGTTCTGAGATGGATGGTAGTGATACTTTACACAACAAAGTGAATGTACTGAAGTCAATGAACTACACACTTAAAAATGGTTAAGACAGTAATTTTTGTGTCTTGTACACTTTACCACAATAAAATAAAAATAAATAAGAAAGAAGAGTCCCTACCTCCTAGAGATGTTGTAAGGATTAAATATACGTTATGTGTTTAGAGAGTGCCCAGCACAGAGTAAGTACTCCATAAACATTAGCTACTATCTTATTTTCCTGCCTTTGTAGCTCCTTACTGTCCCCACTACATGTTCTACGGAAACAGATCCTCACTGACTAGACTCTGATCCTTCCGCTTGGAGGTATATAGGTACCTTCTGCAATGAGACAGTTCCAGCCCTGGGCTTCCTTCTAGTATAGATGCTTCTTCATTGGAACAAAAATCCCACTGAAATTGGATAAAGAAGAAGAAAGCACCTAATTTTTGCAGTCTTCACACAAAAACTAAAATGTCCACATTTTTTTTTAAAAAAAAACAACTGCTTTTATTGTCTTTATTTGCTAAATGGTGTGTTAATAATTTTGCCTCAAAAATAGGTTCCTACACTAATGCTATCATATAGGTCTGAAAGTGGAAGAGAAGTCCCCCTGATATTCATAAATACTCTTTCACTTTTTATCACAACCAAGACTATTTTACTTCTTTCCTTGATCATTTTAAAAAAACTTTTATTATAAAAATTTCCAAATATAAACAAAAGTAGAGAGCTCAATTAGCTTTGCTGTATCCAACTTAATAACCAACGTTAACCTTTCTGACTCTACCTAGTACTCTACCTTCCACCCCCAAAAAATTAGCATAAAGACACCATATAACAGCGACCATTGAAGTAACAATCATCATCATCACTATTTTTCGTTACTTTAGAAGTTCTTTATTGACATTTTCTTACCTTCCTTTCAATTATTCAAGGTTATTATAAGGAAGTTGTCTGACATGAATTAGTTTCCTGAGAAATATTAGTTCTCCATAGACTACCACCTTATCCTACTCTCCAAGTAACAGACACCCCACCCACACACGTGCATATACACACACACATACACATATCCTTCTCCATTCTTTGCCCCTTACCTTCCTAAACACTGGTCCTTGCTCCCTTTGTGTCCCTTCTGTCTCCTAAGCCAGAGATCCCAAACATAAATGCCTGATCACAAATCAAATCACCTAGAAGATCCTAGATTTAAGGACAAATATAAAAAGTAGATAAATTGAAGTGATAACTGTATTAGGGTACCAATCCCTATATTAAAAATTAAAAACATACTCAATCTAGTGCCTGTACATAATATTATTTAACAGAAACATCAGGCTAGATACTGCATTGTAAAATGTCACAAACAAATTCCTACACAGGTCATTCCTTTGTGCTCACGCACACATTTATATTTTAAACATTAAACACTTTTTGATCATACGAGAAGTTTCATAAGCTGTGAGATCCATTTCCTTGCAATCCTTTCACCACTGGAAAATTGTCACCTCTTATTTGTTTTAAAAGCAATTCTAATCACCAATCGATCATACTCTTGGCTCATTCAGTTCAGCATACAAAACTGCTCAAATTTCTCCCACTAAAATAAAAAGCACCCCCTCTCTTAATGACTTCATCCAGCCATAGCCCACTCTGTATTGCCTCATCTCTACATTTCTCAAGAAGTCACTGAAGCTTAAACATTAAACACTTCTTGTTTCATTTTCTCATCGATTCACATCTCCACCCAATGAATTCTAGGTTCTGCTGCAACTTCTTTCAGTAGTGTCACCAATGGCCTCCCATTTACTCAATCCACTGGCCACTTTTCAGTGCTCATCTTACTTGAACTCTCGGTAGCATTAGATACTATTGGTCACATCCTCCTAGAAACTGTCTTTCCTCAGTTTTAATGTCCTCTCTTCTGGCCTGTCTCACACCTCTCTGAACATTCCTACTTAGTCTCCTTCAAGACCCACATCCTCCAGTCATCCCTGATGGGCCAGTGACCCCAGAGTTCCATCTATGGCCCTGCTCTCTTCTCCTTTTACTATATAGTCTTGCTTGGTCCATCTATTTGTGAACATCACTGACTTCAATTACCAGTTATACACCATAGTCTTTCAAATCTCTGTATTTCCAACTCCAGTCTCCACCTGGGTGTCCCTCAGGCACATTAAACTCAACATATCCAAAATCTAATACTACCTCATACATTCACTACACAGGTGAATGCTACCACCTCCTAATTACTCAATCCAGAAAATTGGAAGGCATCCTTTAGTTCTCTCTCTCTCTCATTCTTCATATTCAATCAGTTTTCAGGCTATATTGCTTCTAAATCCCAAAACTCTAGGATTTGTGCCTCCCTCTCCATCTCTTCCACTGCTGCTACTTCAGGCCTTGATCATTTCTCGCCTAGATTTCTGCAATACAACACAAATGCAGTTCTCCATCTCCAATCAACACATCTGGCTCTGATTAGCTCTCTAGACTACTGTCAAAATGATCTAAAATATAAGTTTTATAAGGTCACTCTTCTGTTTAAAACTCATCAAAAAAATCTAAAATCTTTTATCTTTGTAAGGCATTTCCTAAATATCTGACCTACCTCACGATTCACCATCAACACCTCCCTATAAATATCAGACATGCAGAAGCACATGTCCATGCAACCATAGCTCCCTCAGCCAAGGAAAGCACTCCCATTCTCTTTGCTTGGTTAACTCCTCATCCTGACAATCCCCCTGAGAAAACATATCTGACTTGAATTTTCCATGTTAAGTAACTCTCCATTCTGCTCCCACCACACTGTGTACTCATCAAAGCACTGAGCACAGCACCTGTGTACCTATGCAGCACTGACCATCCAACTTATAGTTTTTTGTTATACTTGTTGACTTATGGGTCTCTCCCACTAGAATATACACTATTTGGAGGAAAGAAATCTATCTTATTATACTTTCCATGTACAACAACTACTACATATTTGCAAAATTGACAAATGATATTCATAAGAAAGGTTTATTGTTGTTGTTCCTTTTCTTTTCTTTTTTTTGACCCTCACCTGAGGATATTTTTCCATTAACTTTTCTGAGATAGAGTGGAAGAGAGGGAGGGTGAGAGAGAGGAACATCAGTTTGAGAGAGACACATCAATTGATTGACTCCCACATGACCCTGACCAGGGCCAGAGATCAAATCTATAACCAAGCTACATGCCCTTGACCAGGAATCAAATCTGTGACTCTTTGGTCCATGGGCCAACACTCTAACCTCTTAGCCAAACTGGCCAAGACAGAAAGTCTTATTTGTTAGCAACTATATTCAATATGTAATTCTAAGAATAAAAATGATAGACAAATCTCTCACTAAATATAAGTATCAGAGATAAGAAATATTATGTTTTGTAATGGAAACCTCAGACTTTGTTTTCTTAAAAATTATATAAGTCAAAAAGTCAATGGTGCAGAGCCCTCCTTTCAAACAGCCAATCTTGGTCTCTTGAGCCTGATTAACTTCACTGGCCTTGCCCTAATGATTCTCTGAGACCCTCACCTCACCACAAAGTTGTGCAAGCGCCCAGCAGTTGACAGCTTGACTTAGTATACTCTGGGACATTTGTTGAGTGGCCCCAGACCCAGCACAGGCACCAAGTTTAAACCTATATAGATCTAGTGAATACCACGCGTTCCTACCTGGTTACTCACTCAGAACCTATCTGATGCAACTTGAGAATCACCAGGGGCTCTTTCAGTGACAGAGATTAACCAGCAAGTAAAGGTAGACAGAGGTAGATCTCAAGGTTCCTTGGGACTTTTGCTAACCTGCCTCCAGGCCTGGTGCTAGTAAAAGCTGACCTTGGTGCACAGTTTAATCCTTCCTACACACACCCAGGCCCAGAAGAGGCAGCCACACACTGTGGATCACTAAACAGGTTGCCCAGGGCCAGTCACAGGCAGTGTCTGACATTGGCCTGCACCAGAGTACCTCCCAAGAGCCCCAAAACCAACACACCCAGTGACCAGCTTCAAACAACATCAAAGCAGGATCCAACTAGCTTCACAAATGGCATCTCCAAAAGGAGATCCCAACAGGCACAAGACCCTGCTGAGGCAAATTCCACACCTTGTGGTCAGCACCTGCACAGTGGCTTGTAAACTGTATTCATAATTGATCCCCACAGTCAGCCAGCCTAAGAGTAGGCACCACGAACAAATGGGCCAATAGCAAACAAGACTCAATCATAACAGGAAGGCACATAACCCACACAAGAGACATTCCAGGAGCACCAAGTTCAGGTGAACAAGGACACTGTTCCACTGGGTGCCACAGGACACCTACTATACAAGGCCATCCTTCCAAGACTGGGAGTCATAGAAAATCTACCTAATTCATAGAAAAAAAACACAAAGGCAGCCAAAATGGGGAGAAAAAGAAAACTTCCCCAAATGAAAGCACAGGAGAAATTTCCAGAAAAAGAGCTAAATGAAATGGAGGCAAGCCATTTACCAGATATAGAGTACAAAAAATTGTTAAGATGCTCAAGGAACTTAGTGAGAACTACGACACCATAAAGAAGGACACAAAAACATTAAAAAAGAACCAGTCAGAAATGAAGAATACAATATCTGAAATAAAGACTACACTAAAAAGGAATAAACAGTAGGTTGGATGAAGCAGAGAACTGAATCAGCAATTTGGAAGATAAGGTAACAGAACATACCCAATCATAGAAGCAAAAAATAAAATAAAATAATTTCTAAATGGGGATAGTAGAGAGACCTTTGGGGCGATGTGAAGTGCACCAACATCCTCACCATAAGGAAACCAGGAGAAGGGAGCAAGCAAGGGATCAAGACTTTAATTTGAAGAAATAATGACTGAAAACTTCCCTAACCTGGTGAAAAACAACAACACAGAAGTCAAGGAAGCACAGAGAGTCCAAACAAGATGAACCCAAAGAGGCCAAAAATGCCAAAAGCGAAAGACAAAAAGAGAATCTTAAAAGCATCAAGAGTAAGACAGTTACCTAAGCTCCCAAAAGATTTTCAGCTGACTTTTGAACAGAAACATTTCAGGCCAGAAGGGATTGGTGTGAAATGTCCAAAGTGATAAAAAGCAAGGACCTACAACCAATACTACTTTACCCAGCAAGAATATTATTCTAAATTTAAGAAGAAATAAAGAGCTTCCCAGACAAGAAAAAGCTTTAAAGAATTCATTACCATCAAATCAGTATTACAAGAAATGTTAAAGGTTCTTTTTGAAGAAGGAGGGGTGAGAGGGGAACATAGTTAAAATAATAAAATGGGAATACAATATGTACCTATCAATGCTCACTTTAAATATAAATGACTTAAATGCTCCAATCAAAAGACAGAGTAGCTGAATGGACAAGAAAACAAGACCCATATATATGCTATCTAATAGAGACCCACCTCAGAACAAAAGATACACGAAGACTACAAGTAAAGAGATAAAAAAAGATATTTCATGCAAATGGAAAGCAAAAAAAACAAAAACAAACGAAGAAAGCTAGAGTAGTAATACTTGCATGTAACAAAATACACTTTTAAACAAAGGCTATATTAGAGACAAACAAAGATACTACATAGTGATAAAAGGAGCAAGCCAACAAGAGAATATACTATAACCCTCATGAACATTTATACACCCAACATAGGACTACCTGAAAATATAAAGCAAATCTTGATGGACAGAAGGGAGAGATGGACAGTAATACAGTAATAGTAGGGGATTTTAACACCCCACTGACATCAGTGGATAAATCTTCCAAATAAAAAAATCAACAAGGAAACAGTGGCCTTAAATGACACACTAGATAAAATGGATTTAATTGATATCTTCAGAGCATTTCACCCCAAAGCCGCAGAATACACATTCAGTTAAAGTGTACATAGAACAGCCCTGGCCAGTTTGGCTCAACCGAGAGACCCAGGATCGGTTCCCACTAGGGGCATGTACCTCACTTGCAGTTTGTCCCAGGCCCTGGTTGGGTCGTGTGGGTGGCAACCACTCAATGTGTCCGTTTCGCATTGATGTTTCTCTCTCTCTTCCTCTCCTTTCCTTCCACTCTTATCTGAACAAATAAATGGAAAAATGTCCTTGGGTGAGGACAAAAAAAAAAAAGGATACATGGAACATTTTCTAGGATAAACCAAATGACAGAATGCAAAATAA